ACTACTGCTACTACTACTACTACTACTACTACTACTACTGCTACTACTACTACTGCTACTACTACTACTACTACTACTACTAAAACTACTAAAACTACTCAAACTACTAAAACTACTAAAACTACTAAAACTACTACTACTACTACTACTACTACTACTACTACTACTACTACTACTACTACTGCTACTACTACTACTACTACTACTACTACTACTTCTACTACTACTGCTACTACTACTACTACTACTCCTCCTACTACTACGTTACTGAATCCTCGACCCTCATGTGCCTTGGATGGGGGGCCGTGGCGCGTCTGCGGCTTGAGCTCCTTGGGGGCCAAAGCCTCCAAGAGATAGATGGGCAAAGATGGCATGAGGGTTTCAGTCGAAGCCGAAGCTTGCACAGAACTGAAACAAATCAGTACAGCGTCAGCAGTTCAACAAGCTCGATTTCGGCCGAATGCGCGAGCGAAACTCATCGCCTGGGCCTTGCGACCTTTCTATCGGGATGCAGGATCACAGCAAGACAGCCGACTCCGGAATCTGTTCTTTGAAACCTCCCCGTTTGTCGGGGCTTTTGAATCGCAAAGATACCACGTTCCCATGGGCATGACAGACGAGTTTTCTCATGCTTGTGTTATACTGCTTGCTTGTCTTGGCCGCATAGGCTCTCCGTTTCTGCATGTCGCTAGATTCCTGTCACGTGCCGCTGACTGGCCACAGTGCAGACGGTCAACTGCAGAACACACCCACACAGTGCGACTACAGATTGTCCTCTCGTTGTGGAATGGACGTCAGCTTTTGGGCTGCTCACAGGTGAAAGCCGTACATCTTCATCGCATGCGACCTTCCAACCCCCGCCCCACCACCCCCACCTGAGAAAAAAAGAGAGGCAACTTCCGACACTGATCCAAGCCTATATATATTCGCACGCTGCAACGCATGAGACCTGTCGAACTATCTAAATCGTCCTCGCCAGTCTTGCCAGATCGGGCATTCTGCCTCGGGGTGTTCGCGCTTCATCTCAGAGAGTGTCAACACCTTCCGGGAGAAAGCTTTCTGGATGTTGCACTACAGCAAACCAAGACAGCGCTCTTCCGCGACGTTCTGTGCCTTCCCTCCGCTCTTGGTGCACTTCTTCAGGTAACCCGCGGGCTCGCTGGCATAGTGGCCACGCGGCTTTCCCAAGGTGGAGTGAGACCTGGGGCTCTCAAACAGCCAGGATTCCAAGTGGCTGCTGGCATGGTGGGTCGGGCCCTCCAGAACAAGGTATCATGCCCTTGGCTAGTTGCATATCTAGGTTCCTGCTGCACTTCGTGTTCAGAACTCCGGCGCAAAAAGCCGCAGTCATGGACACAGCATCCTGTCCCGGAAAAGGGCTCCTTGCCTGCATGTACAATCTTTTGAATACTGGCATGTTTGGCTTCTTGGACCGGAGTATCAGTTTTGCCAAACGGCTTACTGCTTTTGCAGAGCAGGTTTAATTGATGTAGATACCACTTGGTGCATCAGAGCCGAGTTCTTTCATCGTCAGCTTGTTCACTGGTGTCGTGCCAAACCTAAGGCTAGCAAGCCGGGGCCGGCTTCGACGAGGAACCAGGCACGATGAGCTTGATGGCTCGGCAACCACACCACATGTACATCTCAAGCTGGCAAAAGGACCTGCCCTGAAGCCTCCGGTAAGCAACGCAACGCACCAAGAGCTTCTGAATTTCACCGCGGTTCTGGTTCTGGGGTGCGAATGTCGGGGTTGCGGACCCCAAAGTCATGATTCAGGCAGTGACGAAGTTCTCTTTTCTGTTCCGCCGGTCGTGCTGCCGTCCTTCTTGTCCCTGTGTAACACATCAATAAATGGCCTCTGGCTCCAGCCTCTTCGCTTCTACAGCCACTCGCTGTTGGGAATGAGAAAGCATTATCCGCCCGAAGTGACCAATCTAGCATTGCTTGCAGCCGTCGGCCATGCGAAACCCTCGCGGCAGTGCTTGCTTCACAAGCACAGAAGGCTACAACGACGGGAAATTGCGCAAACCATGTCCGTGAGGCAAAAAGTGTTAGATTCAGCGATCTGTTCCCTTCCAGATTGCACTTAGATAAAGTCTGGACCGATGCACTTCTGACTTCTGTACAACTATGGCCACTATCTACAGGTCCTCGTCGTAGAGTGTCTGACGTCTGATCTGCCGCCGGTTTGCGCAGCCTGCACTCCCTCCCGAACCTACACGCTTGCTGCCACACTGCTTTCATGATTTCTTGTCGGACCTTCGACTTCTGCCCACGGTCAAGGAACTGCATACCGTCTTTTCGCGCGGTGTGCTTTCTGCTCTCCGCGCTCAGCGTGCGAACTTCGATGTCGATGTGCTCAGCAAACAGGGCATGCATCATGCCATGTTGATTGTTATTGTCGCTTCAGAAGCTGAGCTCCTAAGAGCTGAGCCCAAGCGCAGCACGTCGATTCGAAGGCTGCTGGTACATGAGCATAAAGAACCATTCGAAGATTGCTTTGGGTCACCAATCTCCTCTGGAATAAGAAAAATCGCCAGCATCTCGGGAGCAAACTGCTGCTCCCGGCATGCGTTTCAAATTTGGTTGAGGACCCACGTGCTCTCGCTGCAGTTGGAGACAGCAACAGGCCAAGATCCAAAACCCCCAAGCCCTAAATCCTAAGTTTCCACAGCTCCATCCCCCGTCCCTCAAGCCCTGCCCTACCATTGTGGGCAAGCGTTCTGGACCAGAGGTTGACAACTCCGGGTTTCTGAGGTGTACATTTTGCCGCAGGTATGATTCCTGGAGGGTAGGTACAGTGAAGCTTGCACAATTCTCAATGTCAAGCTTCATGAAGAATGATGGCTTACGTGCGGCACCATACAAAGACCAAGAGCATCAGCAACTCCTCAGGTTTGGTACAACTCCACAGGCACAGGCTCGCCGACCGTACTGTTCATGATGACAAAATTACTAAGGACAAGAAAGAGACTGTGATGATGATGATGATGATGAAGACGATAATGATGGTGCCGATAGTTGTGCCTGCGCTGCTGTTTTCTACGGCTGTTGCTGCCCTCGCTTCTGCTCACAGGACTACGGCCACTACTGCCGCCTTTGTTTCCCCGCGGCCGATCACAATTACTGGCGACGACGATGACGATCGTGTTTATACTTTTCCTGCCTTCGCACAGGCTCCGCGGTGGGGCCGGTACCGATCGGACAACCGACTGGAGCAACCATGAACCTCGTTTAACAACAGGACCATAACCATTTGTGGTTTCTGCTATCGTTTCTGCTACCTTTTCCTTCATACTAGCAGAAGGGATAGAAGCCTGCCGGCCATCGGAAATATCATCGTATTGCCAATGTGATGTTTTACCATCTCTGCAGCACCAGGAGTAGTAGAACAAGAGAGTGGTGACCACGCTGCCTGAGGCCCTCGTGTCTCTGGCGATGCCGGCTGAGTGTATTTCAAGGCAGCTTGCTGATTCCACTCTGCGGCTGCGGCATCAGCTAGTAATTAAGGCTGGTGCAGCGTGCAGTCCCCTTCACGATAACGCGGTGGGGAAAGACAACGTTTGACTCATGAGCCGATGCAAAAGAAACAGCAGCATCAGAGGGGCTTCTTGTCGGCCAAGAAGCGGCCATTGAACTCGAAGCATTCCTGCTAGCAACATTAGCCCCCAGGAACTGTACACGGGGTTCCTGATCTGCAAGAAGACTATATTAACCTTTAAGCCGCGATGGACCAGACAAACTCAGGAGTACAGCAATGCGACATGTGTCACCGGAGCATGTGGCTCAAGGTTGATGATTCAGACAAGTGAAGATGAGGTTTGGCAACTTTGGAGTGGGAGATTGAGAGCCTGGGGCCGGGCACAAACTGCTCCCAGGGCGAGGCCATATCATCGTCTTGATGAAGTCCTATTCTGTTCGAGTCAGCATTAACAATTAACAGTCCGAGTCTTCTCCTTCCAGTAATATGATGTGGCAGTCTGTGTAGTCGAGAGACCCTCAGTGATGTGTTTTGGCCGGGGCTCACACAGGAGCCAGGCCAGGATTCCTCCAGATTGTGCTCTGCCATGCTCGGAGTTGCAAGGGTTTTGCAAAGCCTGTTCATCATCTTCTCAGGACTTTACAAAGTCTGAAGCTTTCAAGGCATTCTTTAATTTTCTCAGGATTCAAAGAGGTCTGAGGCCGGATCTCCATGACTTTGGGCGGCTGTTCTCCTCTACCCCCACCTCACTACTAACTCCTACTCCTACTCCTACTCCTACTGCTACTGCTACTGCTACTGCTACTGCTACTGCTACTGCTGCTGCTGCTGCTGCTCCTGCTGCTGCTCCTGCTGCTGCTGCTGCTGCTACTGCTACTACTGCTACTGCTACTACTACTACTACTACTACAACAACTAGTACTGCTACTACGACGACGACGACGACGACGACGACTACTACTACTACTACTACTACTACCACTACCATTACAATAACAACTACTACTACCCACCACGCACAGTGACACTACACCACACCAACACTACTGCACCAGCTGAAGCAAGATCAAGCTCAGTTCTTGGCGCTTGCTTCCACTGTTCGTGGCAATACTTCTCGCATTGCTTCCCTCTTGCGTCGGCTCGTTGCGCTAGAGGGATACTTGGCATGCGAGCATGCATAGTCTTTCAACAAATAACATAGAGGATGGATCGAGCAGAAGGTTGGCAAATGCTCCAACTTGCAGGCGAATGTTGCGGAAGATCATTAGAGTCCTTAGAGCTGGTAAAAAGTCGAGCCGACACGTTCGATTTCGATTTGCACATGCATTCAGTCTCTGAGAAGCTGCTGCTGCCACCAAGCACACCGCTGAAGAACTAAAGCTCAAAGAATCCAAGCGAACCTGAGAGCTGAGGATCCTGGCCCTACGATGTCCTACGAGTATAACATGGCCTCCACCAGCGATGCACTTAAAACACGGCCCTCATCGAGTCCAAGCACTCTCCACCATCCCCAGGCCTCTCAGGTAATCCTTCCCCACGGAAGCTTTGGCAGTGCTGGCTCGGAACGCGTTTTCGATAGGCTGGGCAGGCAAATGCCGTCCGAGATTGGTCGGATACCTGAGAAATGCTTGCAGGCGCGAGAAAGTTGAAACTAGGAAAGTATATTCATCGTACAGCCCTTCTAATTCCAATCGGTTTGAGGTCATAGCCCAGACCTAGGACTTGCTTCTTCATCCGTGAACGGTTATATAATTAAGTATCCGAAAATGTCTTCCTTTGTAGCCTTGCTGACCGGCTGTTGTCTGAGTTAAACCGCGCGAACACAGGTTAGAGGAGCGAGGCTACGTTGAATATCGCCTGTCGGCAACCGAAGCTTTCCCGGAATACAGGTCGCCACCTGCCGTTCGAAACAAGTGGCGTCAAATCCTAAATGCCACGCCAGCAAGGAGGACCGCTATTGCTGAATTCAGAACCGTTTGGAAGCAGTACCGGTACAAGGGTCGGTGTCAACAGGATGTGATCGGGAGTAGAAGTCGCGTCAACAGGACCGCACGAGGGTACGCACGTGGTGTCGGAGCAAATAATTAACGGCTCAACACTGAAGAATTCTGGGTGCGGCTGGTGCGAGGGTTTTGACCAACGCGGTTACACCGACGGAACGGTTCGTGCTTCTCCCGACAGGGAGGCCCTGTGAATACCTGTGGGTGCGGCTCAGTTTAAAATGCTGATGGGCTCACAACAGTCGAAAAGTGGCTTTCTACTCTCCCTGACGTCAAACCTTTTCGACCGCTAGATACGCTTAAGACCTAAACCCAACGAGCCCTTCCACCATCACCGTCAGTTAAACATCTCGGCATCCACCCTGCTGAACCCAAATCCCCTAATGAAGCTCCTGTGGATCATTGGACGTTTCGGAAACATGATGTAAATCTACACGTCCAATAACTTTGAACTGCTTTGGCCTGCAAAGAGCGAGGGCTCGAATACAGGGTCTAGGCCTAGGCTTTGGGTTGAGCCTTTTCTCTGTGCAGGCCAGAGCAGGGCCAAGGCGCCCGCCGGGTTCTCGTGACGTTTCGTTTCGGCTTTCGCCTTTTCCATATACTATTCGACTTCTCATTCCAACTGTTCGCTGTCTGGGGGGGGGTTGGTGGATTTTGGTCGTTTGTCGATGTTTGTCGAGACTCTTCGGGGTGTTCCGATTCTCGATGTCGAAGTGTCAAGCTGTTAAGCCCCGCAACACTCCTTCAACACCCTCACTCTCACTTATGCAACAAAAGATGTGCTCACCCTTGTTCAAACCAAGTCGCTCCGAGCAAATTGGGGCGATTGCATGGGCGACTGTGCGAAGATGGACGGGAGATTCGGTGCGGCTCCCACGCTCATGGGCGACTGCACCTGGGAGTCCGGCCTTCGAATAGAGGACGGACCGAGAAGACCTCAGACAATCGAAGCGACTCGCCTCAAATCCTAAGCCGGTCTGCATATCCGTCGGCACACCCACCGAAGCAACCCGAGCAAAGCCGCAAAGCCTGCTCCAACAAGTAGACTGCTCCCGCCGAACATCTCAGATCAGACTGACTGCCCAAAAAACTCCTGTGCTGAAATCTCGAAACTCCGACGCTGCGGGCTCGTCGGCTCCTGCCCGTCGTGCAGTACACCACGGTCCCCCGCCCCATTCAAGATGTGGCGGTGGTGGCGGTGGTGGTGGTGGTGGTCCGGTGCGGCGGGTGGGAGTCCTAAGGGGTAGTTTTGGTATCGTTTCCCAGGGCGGTGGATGTGGTGGTGGTTGCATCGTCGCTCTCTTGCCCCGGACTTAGCAAGGCGGTATGTGGATGCCAGTTAGCGAGGGTATGAAGGTTCGCGTCGAAAAAGGAAGCGAAACGAATGTCAGGCCAGCAGCTCAAGTCCAAGGTGGGGCGGATCTTCCTCGGAGGGCGCACCGTTTGCTCTGCAGCGAGCAGCTGCCGCTCTCGAGCCAGCATTCGCAAGATGAGCGTCCCCTGCCTGTCAAGCTCAGAAAAGAAGGCTTCGTGTATAACTCCCAAAGCTTTCCAATCTTGTAGAAGCCATGTCCATTTCTGCGTCCACTAAGACGGTGCAATGAAATGCAATCCCTGGGCTCGGCTTGACTCGCACATCAGCCAGAGGAAGCCCTCACTATGCCACGACATCTACATCAGTGCCAGGCGAACCTGAGGATGTCGGGGTGGAGCTTTTTCTCCGTGGCATGTGCCTCGACCAGTGTCCACGTGTCCTGCACTCTGATGGTTGCAAGTAACTGGTGTGCAAGAGTTCGCCGTGTCGTCTGCAGCTAATGTGGCATGGACAGCATTCGCTTCCTCTTCTGGCCGACCGAAGACACTCGAAAGTGCCGTTCCATGTAGGCATCTCTTAAGTCAAGCAGAAGCATGCTACAATCCAAGCTGTCACTCTTCAGCTCACATGCATATCCTATACTCCTTCGCTTCGCTCCAGGCAAGCAGTGCCTGAAATGGACAAGAACCTCACGTGTCCTCTCTAGGACTCTAGGGGTTCGGGGTCATTGGCTAGGACAGCGCGTTCGCATCGGCACGATCACTATCGGATGTCTCGACTCCTTCTCTCTTCATCTCCCTCTGTCCACTGATCAGGTCTGCTTGCAATCTTAACTCACTACTTGTGGAGTCTCCACCGCGACGGCTTTGAGCACTGAACAGATAGGCATCGTACGTCGTACATGATGCCATGCGGCTCCTCCTTGTAGCTTCCGGATTGGGTCATATAAATTATTGTTTCCGTAGTTGTTCATATGATATAATCAACTACGGAAACAAGACAAAACCTGCATGGGACCAAGCAGTCCTCCGCAAGAATCTCCATGTGGGCTGGCCTTTGACAGCCGTAGTGCTTTCGGCTTGAGTTGCGAGGACTGAGGACACCCCCCATCTGCCTTCCTCAACCAGTAACGCAGTCACGAAGGGCCTGAAGCTTGTGCCCCAAACCCACAGACAAGTAAAAAAAAGCAAAGGTAGTAACAGTGGCAGAATAATGATATGACACATACGCATATGACTGGTGACTAGTTCGTACTCGGGTCAGAAACTGACAGTAGAGTGCTAACCTGCTACAAGTGGGGGGGGCGATGTCAGCCGAACCCGGAAATCCGTGATGCCCGGTAAAGGCGCTTGCCTGCGGAAGCGTAAGGAAAGCGGAAAACACTTCGGACATGTACCCGTCTGCAGCGCCCGGACAACGTCCTTAGGCTGGCTGCGTGCTGGGCTTGGGCATGAGTCGTCCAAGCGATGTTTACCTCCATACGCTGCTTCACGGGAACATTCGTTGAACTCTTTATCTGGGCTTCTGAACCGAAGCTAATCGAAAGAAGCGGATGGAGCACAAATTGTGTCATTCTATCGGCTGTTATCGAGTGCGAACTTGAGTCCCGAGGAATTGATGGACAAGGTTCTTCGACCTTCGGATCCGGCTGCACTCGTACAAACTCGTCCCGCCGGCCACGGCTGAACTCGAGTTCGCTGGTTGCGGCCTGCAGAAAGCCACAAAACACACTCTGCAAAAGACAAGCACGAGCTTGCACGGGCGGTGTACTGATGCATCCTTTACTCGAGCAATTTGTATCCAGCCACTGCCAGTCGTGCATGATGCATGAGAACTCCCATCTTGGAGCAACGGAGATGCCTCGAGACCATCGCCGATGCGGATGCCGACTTTCGCCGCCAGACCCTGAAAACGAAGGGCTGCAAAGGCTTACGCTGACAGACACACACGCGTGCTCAAATGTGTGCAGGGGTTTGAGGGCTTTATCACGGGGAGTTTATAGCCACTTAGATTGCATTGTTAGACGATGGATGACTATGGCAACTTTGTTGCCACCTGCTTGCCTGGGCCCTTTGCGGTCGCCGTCCCTTTTGTATTCGTGATCTCTTAGCGAGCTACTTGATCAGCATAAGACATATGCAGGCGTGCATGCACTGGTGATGACTGCGTGCGCTCGGAGCATGGCCAGGCATGGCCAGGGCAGCTCCGTCTGTACTTATCTAAGGCCAGACATTCTTGCCTTTGACACCTACAGTGGTTATGCAGTCTGCCTTCGCAGACCCCCGCGCTAAGCTCGGGACCTGTGGGGAAATTCGGGCAACCACAAAGTCCCAAGCCGAACAAGCGCCCCCAGAGCACAAGGCCAAGCCATCTCCCAACAGTGACTCCGGGGACTCGTATCTAGCCTCAGCTCTTCGTGCAGGTTGGCCGAGTCTCAATGTGATGCGACAGAACCGTCCAAGGAGCAGTGATGGCCAAGAAGTTCCTGGGCTCACGGTAGACGTCCAGAACGAAGGCCACAAACTCAGAATCGAGGGACATAGCCTGTCAGGCGTGTACCGCAGGATAACATTGTCTCGGCTGTGTTCAGACTTGAGCATACGGGGCAAGCTCGGAGGATTTGGCCAGCAGACCGCATGGCCAGACTGAGTGAACCAAGGGGCAGCATAGTGCAGCGCCGTGTTCCCAATCACATCCGCGACGCGGAACAAATGCGGATAGTGGACCTGGGCTTGGGTGAGTCGCCACGCAGCACAATGAAGCTAACCTGCCATGTTCTTCGCGGGAGAATAAACCTAGCAACTCAAACAACAAGCAGTCAATCAAGTTCAAGAGTTCGCTTAGCTTGCTTCAAGATATGAATTGCTCGATATCCGCGGTATCGGTTTCCAGAACCGCCGGGTATGCGCTCTGAAGATTTCCATTCTCCACCAAAGGGAACCAGAGGTTGAACCGATTGTTCAGCCTGAGTTGATACAACTACAATCCTTATCTACACTCAGGGTAATTATGCTGGCTCTCTTCTTCTTCTGTGGAAACAAAAAGGACAAACACTACTCAACTGCAAACTTCTATAGCTAAAAAGTCTCGCAACGGGAGGTCTTCGATGCCAGAACTATGTAAACAGTTGGGGTCTCTTGCTTCTTTGGGACAGGAAGACAAGCAACTAAGATAGGTAGCTGGTTATATAAGCATTGTGGAACGCCAGGGCTCACGAACGACTACATATTGAGATTAATCTTTACCTTCATGCCTTCCGGTGGAAGTCAACTCCTGCCACTTGCGCAGTCTATGCGTCCAGAAGTGCTTTGGCTCTGTTTACAAGCCGCATCGGCGCAATAGCACAATGCACCAGTATGAAGAAATAATCAATGAGACCACCCCCGCCACTCCCACCGTCATCACCAGCATTTTGTCACCGTCATCATCATCCTCCTCATCGTCACTATCATCAGGCGAACGTAGTAATCGAATCAGATCATGAAGCATACGCTGCGGTAAGGTGAAGAAGATCAGAAGATCTGTGTCTGTGAAAGTGCAAGCTACAAGTCATGTCTGAAGCCAATACCACAGCAAAGAACTCCGCGCACACACACACACACCATTTATTTGCCGTTCTAGCCGTTTTGAAACTCCTGAACGGTAGATGCATCGTGCAGAGCAGATGGTGGACAATTTAAATGCAGTTGTGCTACCCGGCGATCTGGGAGGCGAAGAGTGGGGTATGACCGTGATAGTTACCCCTGGCCACCGCCAAACTGGACACCAACTACCGACCTCAACACGAGACCCAGTCGCTGAAACACATGAACGACATCACGCATCTTGCCAAATATGTGAATGAATATGTGTGATGTGTCCTTTCAGTCTCAGCCCAGGAAGATGAGTACAGGATCTAAACAATCCGGCTTACTGATTCCGTGGCCACCTGAACCGAATAAACACGACTTACAAGTATAGACTATACCAGTACTATACCATTTGGGTTCTTGTTATGCGAAGCACACTGCTTTGGATACACTGCGACTGACTCAACAAGCTGCCAAGCACACGGTAGCTAGACTACGTTGGCATCGTTGCAGTTGTCTGAAGTCTAACAATCTAATTTGGAGTCTAGAATTTAAATGGCTTCAGCAAATTGTGGCTGATCCCCGGTAATTAAAAGTTCCGCAACGTTCTTCTTTGCAGTCGAATAATGAAAAGCCATTTCAGTTGATGATGTTCCAATCGAATCATATGTGCGCTGGACCGGCACGCGATACAACACATTTGTCGCCTTCATCGCTCCAGGAATGCAGTGGGTATGCTTCACGTGTATTGGTAACTCATCTGAAAACAGGAACATACTTCTTTGACGCTTGGAGTCAACATTAAGGGTCCGTCGATAGTTGAAACTACTTAGACGGCTACGAAGTCATTGAGACCTACTGACTTCAGGGGCAGAATAAAGAGAAGTAGGATCATAACAAAACTTGAGTCCAGAGCTGAACCGCTTAAACTTTTAAACTCATGATCGCCATGAGCAGGCTCTGTGTGAGCCGATGATGAAAATCATTGTCGCATATCATACAGCAGCATCACGATCACCAACCAAGAAGCAGCGTACTTCTTCACCTCTCGGAGGTTTGCCTCGCGGCAGTTGACGTGAAGATCTTTGAGCCTCGCTGAGAGGAGCGATGTCGTAGTGCGAATTTCCAAGGGCACACCACAGGCAACAGCAAGAACACAACAAAGTAACATTAGCACGGAGGAGATGGTGGAGGTAGTACCAGTCGAAGCAGTATAGTTCTAAAGTCGTCGTCGTGTTTGTCATGACGAGCCTCCCGGGCAACAGGGCCCCCCTTTTTTCCCTCTCGCGCTGCTGGAAGCTATGTCCACAGACGAGGTTGATAAAGGGCTTTGTGGGGCGTGAAATCTTTGCGGGTTCAAGATCATTTAGAAAGGAACATTGCTTGCAAACAATCTAACAGCTGAAGCGAGTGAACTTTCCACCAAACAGCCAAACAACAGACACTTGCACGCACTTGTTGAATTTCCGCCTGGCAGATCGTACATCTTCTTCGAACCAGCAAGAATATTCTATCGAGAACTTTCAATCCGTTTCCCTAGCATCCGGCAAGGCAGGTCAGAACTTCTTAATCCGAAGCCTATCCTTCTTGTCTTTCTTGGCGCCTATCTCCAAAGCTTTCGCCCCTCAGCTGCTAGCAATGTCCGTACAATGCAACCGCCCTTATTAGCCCGAAACCCAAGAACCCTCGAAACCTGAACCCTCTTCGGCTGCTCAGTCTCAGCTGCTAGTCGCTCTATATGGAACTTTAAATTTAGGCCGCCCTCCAAGAATCCGATTACAAAGCTGGATTCCTCGGTCCGAACAATAGGCAAAAGCAACACGTAGCCCAAAGAATTCGCCTCGCCCGATCGGAGCGGTTCAGAGGCTCCGGATCATCGCCCACGCGACTGACAACCATGCGATAACACAAGTTCAAACTCAAAAGCAACGTGTGCATGAGGATGAGACCGGCTACACATATCACGTCTGTCGTCAATCCAGGTAGTTGTTTTTTCCCATCTGCTTTGCCTAAGTGTCGTGATATGGAACATGTGACATGTGCCGCAGCACTTCAGGCCACTGCCGACTTCAGGTCCCAACTTTGTTGAAGGACCCGAAGCACAGGGCATCTGGCTCGATCCAAAATAGATGGCGACAGGGCACATCTTGAACAATGTGTTACGTGCGCTGTAATCAGAAAGCGCATGCTGAAACGAAGCCCTTGTGAGCTGTCAGCTCGAACCCAGGCCCATGTTGCCCAAGCCATGGAAGGGTAAATCTTTCACAACACCAAACTCTGGCCACGACCGATGCCGCTACGCAACCAAAACGAGACATCACACAGGCGGGGCTTGGTAACCGCAGGAGGGCTGAAGAATGCGTATGAAAGTATATCGTCATGTGCTGTTGCAGCATCTCTGAAAGTCAAGTCAAGGCACTTATTTGCAACAGGCTTCTCCTTGCACGGGGAGCTAAAGTAGCTAAAATACTCATGGTGGATGGAAACTCTGCATCCTCAGCAGCCCCTCCGTCTGTCTCTTTTTCTCACGGACACCGACGGAAGGAGCCAACAGACTGTGCCGCAGCTCTGTTCGGAAACCAAAAGACACGGGCACACGCGCACACACACACACTTATACAAACAAACAAAACTATATAAATAAACAGTCTTAAACAAACCAAGCAAGCAAGCAACCAACCAACAAACACGCAAACAAACACACACACACAAACAAACAAACAAAACACACATGCAAAAACCACACACACAAAACACAGAAACAAACAAACAAACACTCTACACACACAAATACAGGTGCAGGTGGGGTCTCTCTCTCTCTCTCTCGCTCTCTCTTTTTCTCCCTCACCTGTCCCCTGGCTCTTCCCGGACTTTGCAACGCGGTCAAAGCATAATGGAGTTGAGTGTCCCCCAAATCGCCAGCGACGTTGGCTACCATCGGGCAGGTCCTCAGATGCAAAGTCTTCTACATGCCATTCGACATCTACGGATGAGCCGAAACAAGTGTGCGCAATCCACTGGGGTGAGAACGTTCCGTTCGTGGCGAAGGTGGTGCACGAGGGCGGCTGGAGCGGTGAGTACTTCGACTTGTGCATAGGGGGCCTGTGGCAAAAGGTGTCCCAGCTTCGGAGGCTTGCAAGGCATAAGTTCAAGGGCTCGAGCGGGTGTGTGCAATTGAATGGAGGTGCCAACACGCTTTGCGTGGCTTGCCACTGCAGTCTTTCATGACTTCAGTGCCGATTTGCAGCGTCTAGAAATCCATGCACCCGTCGCAGGACGTGCATTAGTTGGGTGATTAGCGTGCAAGCTAGAGTTGCTGGAGACTTCAAAACCTGAGAGGCTGCGAAGGGCTGCAAGCCTGAACTTCAAAGGATGCAGTGACACAAGGGGCTTCCCTGACAACCGGTAATGAGGATCCACGACCGTGCTCAGTCTCCAAGAGAAGTCAAGCATGCCAACTCATTGCTTTTGAGTGGTCCTTGGAACGATCTCCGGCTTCGGCGGGATGATTCGGTAGATCCTGAGAGAGGCGGCTACAATCCAAACGTAACGCTTCGGATTGAACCACACAAGCGCCGAAGCGGCTTAGAGAAACAAACTGTGGAGTCGCAAGTCAATCAAGCGCAGGTGGTCGTCACATGGTTTTGCTCGTGGAGGCATCCTATACCAACGCGCATCAGTGGGGCATCTTCGCCAATCCGTCGAGCAACGACTCGCCGTGATCCATGTACATGCTGTCGGAGATGCCCCTTGCAGGGCACGGGAAGCTCCAACAAACAGACGACTGACACTTCAGTATCGGAGTCCTGCAATCCTACCTCTCCCGAGCTTTACGAAGCAGTTCCCTAGAAGTAGCAAAGACTAGCGGACGTGTTGGCTCGGGAGTCTCAAGGCACAGCAAGCACGAGAGGAAGGGGGTCGTCTGTGCATGTTGTTGGGGCTATATGGGACTGGCGAGACACCGTTCCTTGA